CAGGGTAGAGCAGAGTAGAGTAGAGTAGAGTAGGGCAGGGCAGGGCAGAGTAGAGTAGAGTAGGGTAGGGTAGGGTAGGGAAGGGTAGAGTAGAGTAGAGTAGAGTAGAGTAGACTAGAGTAGAGTAGAGTAGGGCAGGGCAGGGCAGGGCAGGGCAGGGCAGAGTAGAGTAGAGTAGAGTAGAGTAGAGTAGAGTAGAGTAGAGTAGAGTAGAGTAGAGTAGAGTAGAGTAGAGTAGAGTAGAGTAGAGTAGAGTAGAGTAGAGTAGAGTAGAGTAGAGTAGAGTAGAGTAGGGCAGGGCAGGGCAGGGTAGAGTAGAGTAGAGTAGAGTAGAGTAGAGTAGAGTAGAGTAGAGTAGGGCAGGGCAGGGCAGGGCAGAGCAGAGCAGAGCAGAGCAGGGCAGGGCAGAGCAGAGCAGAGCAGGGCAGAGCAGAGCAGAGCAGAGCAGAGTAGAGTAGAGTAGGGCAGGGCAGGGCAGGGTAGAGTAGAGTAGAGTAGAGTAGAGTAGAGTAGAGTAGAGTAGAGTAGAGTAGAGTAGAGTAGAGTAGAGTAGAGTAGAGTAGGGTAGGGTAGGGTAGAGTAGAGTAGGGTAGGGTAGAGTAGAGTAGAAACAGTGCTGTCCTTTTTGTTTGACCAAAACGACAGAAAAGTGAATTAATCAGAAACAGAAAAAAGTGTTTCTGATTTTAGGTTTTTACAAATGCAACAAAAAAGTATAAAAATTTGAGGCTAAAGTTTTGAGCGATTTATTTGGACTTGTTCCAGTCCCAGATTATTGCCGTGTTGGAAATCACTTTCTATAACTCTCTACAATCCTCACGTGTTGATCTTTTGTGTGATCTTTTGTGTGGACCAGAAAGTACAATATATTAGCTTTAAGAAAGATGTGTTTTAAAAAGCGGCACAGACGTGTTTGGAAAGAGATTCTTAAAAACAACTTTCATCCTTTGAGAGTTCAGAGTTTCTCGTTTTCCAACGCTTGGGTCCGAAAGCCTCCAATGTTCTTCAAGCATCTCCGACAGAACCAAATCTCCAGACGCACAACAAAGCAGCGAGAAGTCCCCATCGCAAAACGTCCTCTCCTTCCTCACCGCGAGTCGTACAAAATGTCCTCTCCTTCCTCACCGCGAGTCGTACAAAATGTCCTCTCCTTCCTCACCGCGAGTCGTACAAAATGTCCTCTCCTTCCTCACCGCGAGTCGTACAAAATGTCCTCTCCTTCCTCACCGCGAGTCGTACAAAACGTCCTCTCCTTCCTCACCGCGAGTCGTACAAAATGTCCTCTCCTTCCTCACCGCGAGTCGTACAAAATGTCCTCTCCTTCCTCACCGCGAGTCGTACAAAATGTCCTCTCCTTCCTCACCGCGAGCCGTACAAAATGTCCTCTCCTTCCTCACCGCGAGTCGTACAAAACGTCCTCTCCTTCCTCACCGCGAGTCGTACAAAACGTCCTCTCCTTCCTCACCGCGAGTCGTACAAAACGTCCTCTCCTTCCTCACCGCGAGTCGTACAAAACGTCCTCTCCTTCCTCACCGCGAGCCGTACAAAATGTCCTCTCCTTCCTCACCGCGAGTCGTACAAAACGTCCTCTCCTTCCTCACCGCGAGTCGTACAAAACGTCCTCTCCTTCCTCACCGCGAGTTCGTACAAAACGTCCTCTCCTTCCTCACCGCGAGCCGTACAAAATGTCCTCTCCTTCCTCACCGCGAGCCGTACAAAATGTCCTCTCCTTCCTCACCGCGAGTCGTACAAAATGGCGGACTTGAAAGAACAACCTCTGTTTCCAAAAACACAGGCACGGACTGTTCTGATGTTTGGGGCGGTGCCGGGGCTCAGAGGACGCAGGTGACCCCGGCGTCCTCCACGTGTCCACAGTTGGTCTTGCCCCATCCGGAGAAGCTGCACTGGTGGATGGTGTCCTCGGTGCCGTTGCAGGCCACGTCGTCCATCCAGATGAGCCCAGCTCCTGCACCGGGTCAGAACACAGAGAAGTAGAACATTATCATTTATGTCATTTATACTGGATCTGTCGCTCTCTATCTGAGATGGATAGTTCTAGAGTATTTTTACTGGGTCTACAGCCTCAGTCCTGGGTCTACAGCCTCAGTCCTGGGTCTACAGCCTCAGTCTTGGGTCTACAGCCTCAGTCCTGGGTCTACAGCCTCAGTCCTGGGTCTACTGCCTCAGTCCTGGGTCTACAGCCTCAGTCCTGGGTCTACAGCCTCAGTCCTGGGTCTACAGCCTCAGTCCTGGGTCTACAGCCTCAGTCCTGGGTCTACAGCCTCAGTCCTGGGTCTACAGCCTCAGTCCTGGGTCTACAGCCTCAGTCCTGGGTCTACAGCCTCAGTCCTGGGTCTACAGCCTCAGTCCTGGGTCTACAGCCTCAGTCCTGGGTCTACAGCCTCAGTCCTGGGTCTACAGCCTCAGTCCTGGGTCTACAGTCTCAGTCCTGGGTCTACAGCCTCAGTCCTGGGTCTACAGCCTCAGTCCTGGGTCTACAGCCTCAGTCCTGGGTCTACAGCCTCAGTCCTGGGTCTACAGCCTCAGTCCTGGGTCTACAGCCTCAGTCCTGGGTCTACAGCCTCAGTCCTGGGTCTACAGCCTCAGTCCTGGGTCTACAGCCTCAGTCCTGGGTCTACAGCCTCAGTCCTGGGTCTACAGCCTCAGTCCTGGGTCTACAGCCTCAGTCCTGGGTCTACAGCCTCAGTCCTGGGTCTACAGCCTCAGTCCTGGGTCTACAGCCTCAGTCCTGGATCTACAGCCTCAGTCCTGGGTCTACAGCCTCAGTCCTGGATCTACAGCCTCAGTCCTGGGTCTACAGCCTCAGTCCTGGGTCTACAGCCTCAGTCCTGGGTCTACAGCCTCAGTCCTGGGTCTACAGCCTCAGTCCTGGGTCTACAGCCTCAGTCCTGGGTCTACAGCCTCAGTCCTGGGTCTGCAGCCTCAGTCCTGGGTCTACAGCCTCAGTCCTGGGTCTACAGCCTCAGTCCTGGGTCTACAGCCTCAGTCCTGGGTCTACAGCCTCAGTCCTGGGTCTACAGCCTCAGTCCTGGATCTACAGCCTCAGTCCTGGGTCTACAGCCTCAGTCCTGGGTCTACAGCCTCAGTCCTGGGTCTACAGCCTCAGTCCTGGGTCTACAGCCTCAGTCCTGGGTCTACAGCCTCAGTCCTGGGTCTACAGCCTCAGTCCTGGGTCTACAGCCTCAGTCCTGGATCTACAGCCTCAGTCCTGGGTCTACAGCCTCAGTCCTGGGTCTACAGCCTCAGTCCTGGGTCTACAGCCTCAGCCCTGGGTCTACAGCCTCAGTCCTGGGTCCACAGCCTCAGCCCTGGGTCTACAGCCTCAGTCCTGGGTCTACAGCCTCAGTCCTGGGTCTACAGCCTCAGTCCTGGGTCTACAGCCTCAGTCCTGGGTCTAATGTCCTCAAATGTAACGGTTAATCTTCCGTCATCTCAGACCTGGACTAAAGTGTGGTTCTGATGAATGCCTGATGAAAAGACGCAGCAGGAGGAGGAGACTAATGCTTTCAAACCCCTCTGTTGACTAATAGTCTGAAAGCTGATCTTTGGGGCTGTGAGCGTGCACGTGGGGGAGCGTGCACAGAGGGGAGCGTGCACGTGGAGGAGCGTGCACGTGGAGGAGCGTGCACGTGGCCCAGTGTTTTGGTTATAGAGTCCAGCTGTTCCCTGTGTGCTTTTACCCTCTTTAAAAGGTTTATTAAAAGGTTCACATTCACCGCATTACTGTAGACACACACACACACACACACACACACTGTAGACACACACACACACACACTGTAGACACACACACACAGACTGTAGACACACACACACACACTGTAGACACACACACACACACTGTAGACACACACACAGACTGTAGACACACACACACACACTGTAGACACACACACACACACTGTAGACACACACACAGACTATAGACACACACACACACACTGTAGACACACACACACAGACTGTAGACACACACACACTGTAGACACACACACACACAGACTGTAGACACACACACACAGACTGTAGACACACACACACACAGACTGTAGACACACACACACAGACTGTAGACACACACACACACAGACTGTAGACACACACACACAGACTGTAGACACACACACACAGACTGTAGACACACACACACACACAAACACACACAGACTGTAGACACACACACACACAGACTGTAGACACACACACACAGACTGTAGACACACACACACACAGACTGTAGACACACACACACACACACACAAACACACACAGACTGTAGACACACACACACACACAGACTGTAGACACACACACACACACAGACTGTAGACACACACACACACAGACTGTAGACACACACACACAGTATACAGTATCTATATACAGTATATCTATATATAGTATATATATATATACAGTATATCTGTATCTATATACAGTATATCTGTATACAGTATATCTATATACAGTATATCTGTATACAGTATATCTATATACAGTATATCTGTATACAGTATATCTGTATACAGAATATCTGTATACAGTATATCTGTATACAGTATATCTGTATACAGTATCTATATACAGTATATCTATATACAGTATATCTATATACAGTATATCTGTATACAGTATCTATATACAGTATATCTGCATACAGTATATCTGTATACAGTATATCTATATACAGTATCTATATACAGTATATCTATATACAGTATATCTATATACAGTATCTATATACAGTATATCTGTATACAGTATATCTGTATACAGTATATCTATATACAGTATATCTATATACAGTATCTATATACAGTATATCTATATACAGTATATCTATATACAGTATCTATATACAGTATATCTGTATACAGTATATCTATATACAGTATATCTATATACAGTATCTATATACAGTATATCTATATACAGTATATCTATATACAGTATCTATATACAGTTTATCTGTATACAGTATATCTATATACAGTATATCTGTATACAGTATATCTGTATACAGTATATCTGTATACAGTATATCTATATACAGTATATCTATATACAGTATATCTGTATACAGTATATCTGTATACAGTATATCTGTATACAGTATCTCTGTATATGTCAGTGTTTAGGTTCATGTTGGAGCCGTCTCCATGTTTCTGCTCTAGTTATTTTGTACGTTTAGGAAAAGTGAGACCAACCCAGAGGGTGACAGTAGCTCAGTTGGTAGAGTATTAGCCTTAAGGCCAGAAGGTCGTGGGTTCAATTCCCACCTCTGCACCTTCTCCACCGACTCCCACTGATGACTGCTGTCGTTGTGTCCTTGGGCAAGACACTTAACCCCACTTTGCCCAAAGCCCCCACTGAAAGATCAAGGCTATGCTCACAGTCAGAGAGCAGCCGTCCTCCTGTGGACTCACCACCTGCAGAGGGTCAGTGAGGGGCTGGTGCATCTCTGACTGCCACCCCCCTGACCCAGAAATGGATTAAAGGGTAGAAAATGGATGGATGGATGGATGGATAGTTACGCACTCGGGACAGCGGGCTCTGGAGGCCCCAGCGGGCTCTGGAGGCCCCAGCGGGCTCTGGAGGCCCCAGCGGACTCTGGAGGCCCCTGATTCCAAAACATTTGCTGAAAGTGGAACGAGAACAGGTCCTGTTTGATTGGAGGCTGCTGTTGATTCAAAACCATCAGTCTGTGTATTAGGGCTGGGCTAGTTTATTTGTATGGCACAGTTTTAGTGCTGGGAAAGTTACTTCAAATACATTATGTACTTTTAACAATATTACTGTCTCTGAATTGTAATGCATTACACTAATACTGCATTACTTTCTCCACATCATATTCAGATCCAAGTGTCTTTATTGGCACAATGTTTAAGGTCCTCACTCTTGCTTTTCACTTTTCCAGGATATATTTCCCGGTGTAGTTCCTGCAGAATTGGACAAGGTTTGAATGATGTCAAGCTGCAGAATAAAACATAAAGAGAGATAGGACCTCCGAGGTTTTACGTTGACGACATTTGGCATCAGAAACTTTCTCAATAAAAGAACAATATTAACCCGTGGGGAGGTTTATGATGCGGGTCAAGTCACCGCTGACGGGAGAAAGTACGGAGGCTGTAAACAGAAGTGCTTCATCAGAGTTTGGCTTAAGCACTTTTCACAGCGGCCATTTCCAGAATCATGGCTGAACCCTGACCTCATGAGACCGGACCTCGAGGCCTCATCTATGGGTCTGCACGGGTCTCGATGACCCGTGGGTCTGCATGGGTCTCGATGACCCATGGGTCTGCATGGGTCTCGATGACCCGTGGGTCTGTATGGGTCTCGATGACCCGTGGGTCTGCATGGGTCTCGATGACCCGTGGGTCTGCACGGGTCTCGATGACCCGTGGGTCTGCACGGGTCTCGATGACCCGTGGGTCTGCACGGGTCTCGATGACCCGTGGGTCTGCACGGGTCTCGATGACCCGTGGGTCTGCACGGGTCTCGATGACCCGTGGGTCTGCATGGGTCATCGAGACCAAAAACAGTGTAATCAAACATGGTTCTGGAGGCTGCAGAGGAACTGGGACAAACTGGAGAATGTTTTTATGGACCAGAAACTAAATAAATCCATTGGAGGAAAGTGTCCTAAAGAGAACGATGCACTGAAGGAAATAATGACGTTCATTTACACTGCAAAAAGTGATCAAAAGAAAACCAAAACTTTCTCTGTATCTTAATTTAAACCAGATTCTCCGACAGGACGAAGCAAAATGACCTTGTTTTATAAAGATACAGAAATGTCTAAAGCAGTTCTTGAAATCGACTAAATGTCTTTGTCCCGTTGGAGAATCTGGTTTGAACACAGTCACTTTGTGTCGGATTAAGTTCAAGCAATTATTACCTCAGGTTTGATCTTTTTTACAGTGTATGGCCTAAAAGGAAGAGAGGACAGCGCAGAGAGCGGCAGGAGAACACACACTGTCCACACTACACTCTGGACTTTAATCACCCCAGCAACACAACACACAGGCCACACAACACACACACAGGCCACACAACACACAGGCCACACAACACACAGGCTACACAACACACACAGGCCACACAACACACAGGCAACACAACACAACACACAGGTCACACTACACAACACACAGGCCACACAACACACACAGGCCACACAACACAACACACAGGCCACACTACACGCACAGGCCACACAACACACAGGCCACACCACACCCAGGCCACACCACACAACACACACAGGCCACACCACACAACACACAGGCCACACAACACAACACACAGGCCACACTACACAACACACAGGCCACACAACACACACAGGCCACACAACACACAGGCCACACAACACACACAGGCCACACAACACACAGGCCACACAACACACAGGCCACACTACACAACACACAGGCCACACAACACAACACACTGGCCACACCACACACAGGCCACACCACACAACACACACAGGCCACACCACACAACACAACACACAGGCCACACAACACACAGGCCACACAACACAACACACAGGCCACACCACACACAGGCCACACCACACAACACACAGGCCACACAACACAACACACAGGCCACACAACACACAGGCCACACCACACACAGGCCACACAACACAACACACAGGCCACACAACACACAGGCCACACCACACACAGGCCACACCACACAACACACAGGCCACACAACACAACATACAGGCCACACAACACACAGGCCACACAACACACAGGCCACACCACACACAGGCCACACAACACAACACACAGGCCACACAACACACAGGCCACACAACACAACACACAGGCCACACTACACAACACACAGGCCACACAACACAACACACTGGCCACACCACACACAGGCCACACAACACAACACACTGGCCACACCACACACAGGCCACACCACACAACACACACAGGCCACACCACACAACACACAGGCCACACAACACAACACACAGGCCACACAACACACAGGCCACACAACACAACACACAGGCCACACCACACACAGGCCACACCACACAACACACAGGCCACACAACACACAGGCCACACCACACACAGGCCACACAACACAACACACAGGCCACACAACACACACAGACCACACAACACACAGGCCACACAACACAACACACAGGCCACACCACACACAGGCCACACCACACAACATACAGGCCACACAACACATAGGCCACACCACACACAGGCCACACAACACAACACACAGGCCACACAACACACACAGACCACACAACACACAGGCCACACCACACAACACACAGGCCACACCACACACAGGCCACACCACACACAGGCCACACCACACACAGGCCACACCACACACAGGCCAGACAACACACAGGCCACACAACACACAGGCCACACAACACACAGGCCACACCACACAACACACAGGCCACACCACACACAGGCCACACAACACACAGGCCACACAACACACAGGCCACACAACACACACAGACCACACAACACACAGGCCACACAACACACAGGCCACACTACACACACAGACCACACAACACACAGGCCACACAACACACAGGCCACACCACACACAGGCCACACCACACAACATACAGGCCACACAACACACAGGCCACACCACACACAGGCCACACAACACAACACACAGGCCACACAACACACACAGACCACACAACACACAGGCCACACCACACAACACACAGGCCACACCACACACAGGCCACACCACACACAGGCCAGACAACACACAGGCCACACAACACACAGGCCACACCACACAACACACAGGCCACACCACACACAGGCCACACAACACACAGGCCACACAACACACAGGCCACACAACACAACACACAGGCCACACAACACACAGGCCACACCACACACAGGCCACACAACACAACACAGGCCACACAACACACAGGCAACACAACACAACACACAGGTCACACTACACAACACACAGGCCACACAACACACACAGGCCACACAAACACACACAGGCCACAGGCCACACTACACGCACAGGCCACACAACACACAGGCCACACCACACCCAGGCCACACCACACAACACACACAGGCCACACCACACAACACACAGGCCACACAACACAACACACAGGCCACACTACACAACACACAGGCCACACAACACACACAGGCCACACAACACACAGGCCACACAACACACACAGGCCACACAACACACAGGCCACACAACACACAGGCCACACTACACAACACACAGGCCACACAACACAACACACTGGCCACACCACACACAGGCCACACCACACACACACACACAGGCCACACCACACAACACAACACACAGGCCACACAACACAACACACAGGCCACACCACACACAGGCCACACCACACAACACACAGGCCACACAACACAACACACAGGCCACACAACACACAGGCCACACCACACACAGGCCACACAACACAACACACAGGCCACACAACACACAGGCCACACCACACACAGGCCACACCACACAACACACAGGCCACACAACACAACATACAGGCCACACAACACACAGGCCACACAACACACAGGCCACACCACACACAGGCCACACAACACAACACACAGGCCACACAACACACAGGCCACACAACACAACACACAGGCCACACTACACAACACACAGGCCACACAACACAACACACTGGCCACACCACACACAGGCCACACAACACAACACACTGGCCACACCACACACAGGCCACACCACACAACACACACAGGCCACACCACACAACACACAGGCCACACAACACAACACACAGGCCACACAACACACAGGCCACACAACACAACACACAGGCCACACCACACACAGGCCACACCACACACAGGCCACACAACACAACACACAGGCCACACAACACACACAGACCACACAACACACAGGCCACACAACACAACACACAGGCCACACCACACACAGGCCACACCACACAACATACAGGCCACACAACACACAGGCCACACCACACACAGGCCACACAACACAACACACAGGCCACACAACACACACAGACCACACAACACACAGGCCACACCACACACAGGCCACACCACACACAGGCCACACCACACACAGGCCACACCACACACAGGCCACACCACACACAGGCCACACAACACACAGGCCACACCACACAACACACAGGCCACACCACACACAGGCCACACAACACACAGGCCACACAACACACAGGCCACACAACACACACAGACCACACAACACACAGGCCACACAACACACAGGCCACACAACACACAGGCCACACAACACACAGGCCACACCACACAACACACAGGCCACACCACACACAGGCCACACAACACACAGGCCACACAACACACAGGCCACACAACACACACAGACCACACAACACACAGGCCACACAACACACAGGCCACACCACACAACATACAGGCCACACAACACACAGGCCACACCACACACAGGCCACACAACACAACACACAGGCCACACAACACACACAGACCACACAACACACAGGCCACACCACACACAGGCCACACCACAACACAGGCCAGACAACACACAGGCCACACAACACACAGGCCACACAACACACAGGCCACACCACACAACACACAGGCCACACCACACACAGGCCACACAACACACAGGCCACACAACACACAGGCCACACAACACAACACACAGGCCACACAACACACAGGCCACACCACACACAGGCCACACAACACAACACACAGGCCACACTACACACAGGCCACACCACACACAGGCCACACAACACAACACACAGGCCACACTACACAACACACAGGCCACACCATACAACGCACAGACCACACAACGCACAGGCCACACAACACAACGCACAACTCATCACATCAAACAAACACCAGAGTCATTTAAAACACAATAAAAACCACTGGATGGAGATCCTTGATGTAGCACAGGTACAGAACCGTCTTTAACCCGGACTTGAACATTGCCAGAGAGGAAGCCCGTCTCACATTTTCAGGAAGACTGAGGATGAACTAAGCAGCGGTGACACCCCTGACCCGAACCCCACCCCAAGCCTCGACCTTGGCACCATCTTTTGTGACTGAAGTAAAAAATACAAATGGACACATCGTGATTCTTGATTATATGTGGAGAAGAAGCGCGTCTAATGACTCTAAGTGTAACCATGGTTACGGGGTAAACTCCCAGCATCTGTTGACCAGATCTTGGCAACATTGGTCTCTTTTCTCGCTGCTCAAATCAATCACTTCTTATTTCCAGACTCACCGATCCTGACACTTTAGTGCTGGCTAATTTGTCTTTCGTTTGCATGCTCCATGGGACTGCGTTTCATTTCAATATGGACGGAAACTGTTTGATTTCATGCAAGAATAGTGTGATGTGCGGGTCATGAACTGGTGTCGTGTGAATGATTCTGCAGAAGATCCTTAAATCCATCAAGGTTTGACCAAATTCACACATTTCCTTTAGATTCATGCCGGACACTAAAATGTTAGCGCCGCAGAGATGGACTCGTCATCACTTCCTAATGTGGAAAACGTGCTCTCTCTGTAAAGTACATTTCACGTCCTGTCAGTTTGAACAGTGACCAGAACCTCGGCAAACGGCTGACGCTGTGATATTCTTTAAACTTAAAACACACTGCTTCACTGTGTGTTTATGTGAACAGACACAAGGAAGGGTTGTTGAATATGTGATTAGGGCTGTTTCGGCTCAGATCCGTAGACTGTATAAAACCCGTTAGCCTGATGAACTTTTCTTCAGCTCATTGAGACGACTGTTGTTGTGATTTTGGGCGATATACTGTAAATAAAATTAATATTATTTGACATTGAAAAGCAAAAACCTGCTCCTCTGTAGCCACTTGTGTTACAACATCTCTGTATGATCCTGGTCTTTTTATTTTGATAATTTCTTCCTGAACTTAGCTTGTGAAAGGTGACTGACCAGCGCTCCTCCTGATTGGCTCTTTGGTTGCTAGGCTGTTGCTATGTACATCATTGGGCTTCAGCCTATTTGAGTAAGCTCCAAGGTGCTTCTTCTGCTTTAGGTGAACTCTAGGCATGACGTCAACACTCGGTTAGATAAGATAGAGATTCTTTACTTGTCCCACAGTGGGGAAATTTCAATGTTGCAGCGCACAGACAGTAGTAAGAGCACAGAGGGAGCACACATGAATACACAAAGTAAGTAGTAGCTATGTTTCTTAGCTGTAAATGCTTCAATATAAATACAGTATGTTGTGTGGAGTTATATACTGTACATAGTCCACTCCTTCTACAGTCTGACACCTTTCACACTGAGTCTGTTTATCTCGGTACCTTGTCCGAAGCGCCCGGTCTTGTGCACCTCGGCGGCCCCTCGGT